AAGGTATTTTAGTTTGTCGTTTTCATTCCATTCATTAATGTGGCTAATCTTATTATATTGCTTAAAAATTTTCTAACGTCCTCAGTCCCGGTTAAATTATTTGGTTTAATCATAAGAGTTTTTTCATTCATTCTCCTTTGGCTCGGTGCAATTGGTGAGGGTAGAATAGAATTGGTGTTTAAATTAGGATTAGCTTGATTATTTGTTGAGTTATCTTTGTTGAGCACTATTTCCTGATATATGTGTTTTGAATTTTCGGGAGAAGTAATGTAATCCTCAAAATGTATTAAGGTGTTTTGATATAATTGGGTGCTTTGATCTTGAGAGGTACTACCAGATGTGTTTGAATTTTTTAATATTTTTCCAACTCTATTTGAAAATGAATTTAAACTATTGTTTAATTAGTCGTATAATGCTAATGATGTTTGGTAAGTAGCTGGTGGGTTTTAATTGCTGTCTTTTTGATTGGGACTTGAATCGGATAGCTCAGCGTCTTTCAGTAAATTTTTTAAATCAATTTTATTAGTGATCGAATTATTAAGAATTATATTACGTTTTTAATTACGTCAAAATGCTCACAATACAACCGTCTCTCAGTCGAAACCCACACTGTCCCCCTACTGTGTTGCTTATGTCCTTTATATTACTATATATATTAGTAATATCCTAAATATTACTTTACAGGGTGCTGCCTCAGCTCATTTGCTTCATTGGCCTTATATTACGCAATTTAAACATTTAGTTAAAAGAATAATTTAAAGTATAATTTGTCTATTATTATTAGTGGCACATGCCACATACAACAGTATGAACTCACAAGACCTGATTATAAGTATTTAATAGGTTTTTAAAAAATATAAGTTAAACAATAGTATTTTAACTCTTAAATTTATTATTTAATCAAGACAATATTGCACTGTACAGATGTACAGTAACAATGTAATCAACATATGGCAGCTCTAGAGGAAAAAGAACTTTTTCGATGATTTTAAACTTTGATATTCTTAAACATCGATGGTTTTTCACCGATACATCGAATATCGATGTTCAAACAATTTTGCCCATCCCCAGTATAGAGTGGAGCAAAATTATGAGAATGCTTGAAATAATTGTTGGGGAAGAGACGTGCCCAATACGGAGGCAGGTAAATTGTACAACCAGACGTCTAAAAATGTTAAGTTTGCTGAATCATAGAAACTTGGGTATTATCAGGGCCGGTTTTAAGGGGAGGCACCGGTGGGCAATTTCCCGGGGGTGGTCACACTTGGGGGGCGACAAATTTAGACTCAGATAAAATAAAGAAAAATTGTAATGCTTCTATGTAAGTAAAAAAAATAATAAATAAAAAAATATTAAATTTAAAAATAATCGTACAATTTTATTTATTACTAGCTGAATTACCCGTCGTTGCCGGGTTTAAGTATATAAATGTATGTAACCTTCCAAGATTAAATTTTTGTTAAATCTATTGAAATTTAAATTAATTAAGATTTTTGAAATAATATTTTATACATATTAATTTAGTTTTTAAGATAATGATTATTATCATAACCTATTCAATAAGTTATAGCTTTTGGCGGCAGAAGCTTTGTTCACGATAAATTTTAGCACTAAAGGTTCAAAATAAATGTTTTACTAATAGTTTTTCAATATGTTATCTACAAAACTTCTTTGTAGACAATGTTCTTCACTGATCTATTAGTAGGCAACAAAATCACCAAGCTACTGGGTGAGCTTACGCGTGAGCAAGCTACGTAAAACTGCCCATGTGAAAAACAGTTTTCTCGCAAATCTATTCCTGCAAATTTAAGAGTTTGGCCTTGAGACTTGTTTATAGTCATACCAAAACAGACTTTCAGGGGAAACTGTAATCGTTTAAATTCGAACGGATGATCATTCGGAATTAAAGAGATTCGTGGTATATTTCATTTCCATAGACGCATAGTAGTATTTTCCTTATACCTAGATTCAGTTTGATTCTGTCTATATTTTTTTTGTGCTTTTTTTATTTGTTTTTTTCTTGTGTAATTAGTAAATCTAGCCCTTCGTTTTCGATAAGACGAAATAGATTGATCTGTTTCACTTGATTGGGATAGTGAAATGTTTGCAGAAATGTTACTGTGTACTGAAGATGCAATAGGTGAATGTTCGCGTTCATCGACCTGTTTCTCTATACGACTCTGAGTATTGTTTTCTGTCGCAGTAAGAAGATAAGCATCAAAATTTCCATTGGGCAAATCTTGTCCAAATCGTAAAAGCGTTACTGGACAATCATTAGATCCGGACTCCGTGTATAAGATACCATTTCGATAAACTTTAAAATTAAATGGAAATATACATCCCGCTGCTATAAACTCACAAAGTCCACCATAAGTTTCATTTTTTATCATATCAGCATAATATTCATTGGCCGTTGAGTAATTATCAACATTTCTATTGTGGGACATAAATGAAAACTTGGTCCAGTCATTCACCACATGTCCAACAATTAGTGATCGCACCTCCATCGCATTGTCTTGTGTTCCGTGTATTAAAAAAGAAAGAGCTCGGAATAAACAGGCACCATCGCCAACAATGGGGACAACAGTATGTTGTTCAAGTTCTCCATTAACTAAAAGACTTTCTTTAGCCATTTCTTAGGTAATTAAATCAAACAACGTTAAATTAATCCTCCTAAAAACAAAAACCGAACACGGAAAAATCTAAAAAACTAATCCGGCAGTAAGCTGTTTTATATTACACTTGTATACCGAAACCGTTTACTGGTCCTTTATCGAACGCTGGGCTATCGCTACGACAACGACAACGACAAAGCGGCTAAGTACATATAATTTACAGCACGTGGGCATACATTTTATATAAGCAAACGTTTTCGTCACGCGCAGCTATAAATATAATATGTAGGATAATCACAATAAACGACAACGGTGCTACCGCGGCTCTATCCGCCGACAACGCGTTAACGCCGACTTAGGACCTTTAGGTTAGGTTAGTTAGGTTTAATAATACAAATTACATGTAAAAATTTTCTTTTACCGATTTCAACCCTTTAAATTCAAAATTTCGAAAAATCCTTTCTTAGCGCACGTCTACATCATAATAGCTATCTGTAGGTATGCCAAATTTCAGCCAGATCCGTCCAATGGTTTGAGCTGTGCGTTGATAGCAGTCAATCAATTTACTGTTTTATGTATACAGATTATTATTATTATCATTAATAATAATTTTAATTCGTAATAAATCAATTGATTATTCAACTCTAGTTTATTTTTAGTGAGGTATACTATAAATATAATTAGATAACCAAAATCAAATCGTTATCGGATGTTCGCCATCGGAAATCATCAAAATAAAACTATTTTTAACAATATTATTGTCGACGAACGACGTATAGATTTCTACGAAATACTATGTAAAATGTAGATATGTGTTGTGTTATGAACAATTGGTTATGTTTTTATTGTCAGCTCAGTGCACAGTATCCACTCTTCAGTAATTTCGTTAATCGTTATACTTACTTTTATATTATTAAACTAGTACTTACATTACTGTTGGATTTTTGATTGGAAGATTATAATTTAATAAAAGGTAAGAATTTTATTTATTATAATTGGTAGGTATAAAATATGAAAGTTGTTTCGACTATATACATTTTCGGTTTATATGATCGATGATTCTTAAGCTAGCTATAAATAATATATTTTATTGAATTACGAGTAAAGTATCAAACGTTTATTTTTTTATTTTAATTTTATCGATTTCTAGAAAAAAAAAATCGGATATATTTTTTTAAGCACGTCCCTAAATTTTAAGTTCTAATTATAATTTATGAACCATACTTACCTACTCAATATTTAAAAAACAACCTCCCTTAACCACCATAGGGCTTATTTGCAAATAAATAATAATTAAAATTATTTAACTAGGTACATCATGTATAAATATGTACAATTATACACCTATTGAAGAAATTATCGAAGTTTGCCCTAACAAAATTACAAGTACGGAATTCAGATGGTGAAAATTAAATTAATTTTTGAAATTTTGAATTTTGATAATAGCCAATAGGTTATATTTAACCACATATTTAACTTGAAGTTAATTTTTAACTGTGAAAGTAGGTAATCTAATAAATTATTTTTATTAATTTGTCTTCTCTAGATTAAAAAAGAACATGATTTAAAAAACCGCCTTTATTAGATTATAAAAAGATTGATATTTAGTATTTTGCCTATATTTTGGTACCTATATCTATATTAATGCATATATTTTAATATTTTATCACCAGTAAATTATTTGAGTTTAGTTAAGAATACTTTTTTAGTAATTATTTATTGATATTAGTAAATTTAAAATAAGTAACTGTAAAAGAAAAAATGTGTTACCCATTTCAAATCACAATTTTTTGTACCCTTCGATAAAACCTAAAAGTTTTGTGCCTATGATGTATGTAGCTAATTACCTATATAATTTGAACCGATAAAATAAATAAGAATGTGTTAATTGTTATTTGATATTTGATATGTGAGTATAATGAAATACATAGTATAAAAACTAAGTGTTAAAAGTTATAACTTAATAATTAATATTGTAAGGTTGAGGTAACTAACTATACTAGGTATATTTTAAATTTGCGTATAATTATTATGAATATTTGCTATGAGTTGTATGTAGTAGTTTAATCTATAGAAAATAATAGTTAATAAATATAGTTATGTGATAATAATTGTGTCATTACCATTTCCATAGGTATCCAAATTAATTATATTTTAATGGCACCGAAGAGAGTCAAAACTAGTGGTGCTCACAATCGTAATGAAGCAAGAAAGAAGAAAGAAAAATTTAATGAAGTTTTAAAAAATACAAAAAATATGGGTTCAATATTCAAGCAGATGAGCAAGTCTTAACATGGTAAGAAAAAAATACTAAAATTAATTATAAATTTAATAATTTAAATGTTTAATATTTAAATAGTTTCCATTTTAGATAAATCAAATTAAATTGGTGAAAAACATAGTGACAACATCTACTTGGATAATGTTAAGGATCTAAAGTAAGGTTCTTACACAAAAATGATATAAATGTATCAAATTATAATTATAGTGAATTCATTTTTTTTTTTTTTTTTTAGATTTATTAAGAAAGAAATGCCTTTTTCTGATAATCAGATTGTTAAAATGCTTGATGATAACTTAAAACATATTGAAGTCTCTGAGTAAGTATGCATAGTGCAGTATAATTTAGTAATGAGTACTTACATGGTTATGTTTCAAAAAAAAATTTAAAAGGGTTGGCAGGTAGATTAGTCTTGTCAGGATACAAGATGGAAACATTTAAATTACTCTAAAGTCTGAGAAATACCAGTATGTGTATACTATTTATACGGGAATTTTATTAATTTAATACAGTGCTTTTACTGCAATAATACAATATTTTCTGATTTAAGTATTTAAGTTTTATAACTAAATAATTGGTTATGGCTCTAATTTTTTAGATTTTTAAAATTATTTTAATTTATTAACTGTCCATCAATCAATTAAATCAACATTGATAATAATTTACTTCAATATATTTATATGGTATTTTATTTTTTTCAGTAAAATTTACTCCTAATAATTGTATATTATCAGTCATATGTTATTATTTATTAAAATTTTAAATACATTTTGATTAGATTACGCTAAAATACAAGTAAATTTATAATTTTCAGCTTAAGAAAAACAGAGATATATTTAGATGAAATCGATGAAAAACGTGACTATTTAAAAATTGATGAATTCTTTGAGTTTGAGTAAGTATATTAATTTAGTTTATCATATATTTTTCTTGTTTTCTGTTATTTAGGAATTTTTTAAAATTATTTATTGGTATTTACATATTTAATTATAATATATTTTCAAATTTTAAATTTTGAGTAACGCGAGGGATTTAGTGATTTTGAATATTTTACTTTTAAACGTTTAAATAATACATTTCTAGTTAGTTAACAGAACTAATTTTGTAATACTTAAAATTATATGATCAATTTAGAATATAGGTATAGAACTTGATAATTCTTATCAATATATTTTACCATTCCTTACATTTTATCTACAATCTTAACAATAATATTA